TCATCCCAGAGATGCAGGGATGGTTCAACATATACAAATCCATAAATGTAATTCACCACATAGATAGAAGCAAAACAAAGACCATATGATTCTCTCAACAGATGCAGAAAAAGCATTTGACAAAATTCAACACCATTTTGTGATAAGAACACTTAACAAAATAGGCATAGACGGGACTTACATAAAAATGACACAAGCCATATATGACAAACCCACAGCCAACATCATACTGAACGGGGAAAAATTGAAAGCCTTCCCACTTAGAACTGGAACCAGACAAGGTTACCCTCTATCACCACCTCTATTGAATATAGTGCTGGAAGTCCTACCCAGAGCAATCATACAAGAGAAGGAAATCAAGGGCATCTAAATGGGGGCAGAAGGGGTCAAACTATTGCTCTGTGCTGACAATATGATCTTATATCTAGAAAACCCCAAAGATTCTGCCAAGAGACTACTGGAATTGATAAACAAATTCAGAAAAGTCTCAGGTTACAAAATCAATGTATAGAAATCAGTAGCATTCCTATATGCCAACAACAGTCAAACTGAGAACCAAATGAAAGACTCAATACACTTTACAATAGCAACAAAGAAAATAAAATACCTAGGAATATATTTAACTGAGGTGGTAAAAGACCTCTACAGGGAGAACTATGAAACACTGAGGAAGGAAATAGCACAGGACCTAAACAGGTGGAAAATCATATCATGCTCATGGGTCAGCAGAATCAACATTGTTAAAATGGCTATACTACCCAATATGATCTACCGATTGAATGCAATCCCTGTTAAAATATCAACATAATTTTTCACAGATCTAGAAAAAATAATTCTACGCTTTGTATGGAACCAGAGAAGACCCCATATAGCAAAAGCAATCTTAAGCAGAAAGAATAAATTGGGAGGCATCAATTTACCAGACTTCAAGCTATGCTACAAGGCTATAGTAACTAAAACAGCATGGTACTGGCACAAGAACAGAGACATAGACCAATGGAACAGAACTGACAAATCAGATGTAAAACCAACCTCATACAGCCAGCTAATCTTTGAAAAAGCAGACAAAAACATACACTGGGAAAAAAAAAACCCTTATTCAATAAATGGTGCTGGGAAAACTGTATAGCCACATGTAGAAGACTGAAACAGGATCCACACCTTTCACCTCTCACAAAGTCAACTCATGGTGGATAATAGACTTAAACCTAAGGCATGAA